GCACACGCTCCCTCCTCTGTGTGTCGCACCGGAGTGGAGCGGACGTTGTACAAATTGGGTTGCCAACAAACAGCTGCGAACTGCACACCGCAGCACAGCGCAGCGGAGTTGCATGTAGTGTAAATCCGGGGTAACTCTGATTAAGTTTGTGTTGATCAGATTTGACCTAGAGAAATATAGAGTATACTGTTGTAATGCACCTACGTAAAGGTCAGTCAGGTCTCCCTTCCATGTCTCCCGTTTGTCCATAATGCTGCTGTTCGTCTCTTAGCTGGAACTATGCACCACGGGATTGATTTTAAAATTCTCCTATTGACTTTTTTTGTTTCATTTTTTCTACCTTTCTTATTTTATTATTGGCGTTGTGCAGAACTTCTGTTACAACTTGCTGTTTTTACAAGTGCTTATTAAATACATTGACTTGACTTCAGCTTATACTYTTTTCCTTTAGATGTCAATTCATTCCAGCAGACGTCAAAATGGATTGACGATGTGAGGACGGAGAGAGGAAGTGATGTCATCATCATGCTTGTTGGCAATAAAACAGACTTGGCAGACAAGAGGTATGTAGATATCTCAGCTACCTCCTGTCCTACTCWATAGAAACCATGGAAGTAAAGTGTCTGCAGGCACATTCAGCCTAATGACACAAGAAAAAASTTTGACAGTTTGTAATTAGTAATTAGTGTCAGACACTCAGCTATTATTCCTCTTGCTCTGTCTACAGAGCAAGTGATTTGTTAATATGTTGAATAATAAGCATTGATATGTTTATAATAATTGCCTCAAGACTAAAATAACTATAAATTTAATATAAACATTATCTCGGTATTACTAAGAGAGTTGAGGAACCGTGCTACATAATCAAATGTAATGAATTCAGTTATTAGACTGGATAACTGATTAGGTTCATAGTCGTGATGAAGGTTGGGCACTCGGCTGATTCCCACTGGAGCATCTCCTGTCAGACCACTTATATTGAAATGAGAAAATTAAAGCTTGCATCAGGGAATTGTTTAATGATTGAGTCTCTGGTGACATCTAAGTCAGTATTAAATAATTTATTTTTAATTCATAGTTTTTCGTGTCGTTGTATGATTTATGTAGTCATGATAAATAGGTGAGAGAATGCTGATGAGGGAAGTTGTTTAATGAATCCGAGATGGGGGAAAATTGATTGGAAAGCGATTGCTTTGAGTAAAAGGGTAAGAAAATACTTGAAGCAGAAATGTACAATAGTGGAAGAGCTAGAGAAAATAAATAGAGAATTGAACCATAAAACGATTAGCGTTGTGGCGGGTACACATTAATGGTGCAAGTGTACCAGATGTAGTCTACAGCTGGATTTCAGCTGTTAATACCAGGAAACTAAAGGAAAATGAATTCTAAATTCACCTCCTGAAGTTGTTTCAATTTTCTGGGGGGCCCATAATCTTGTATGGTCAGAGGTTGTGAAAATATCAATTTATTGTTTATAAAAATCATCAAAACAAGTCCATTTGAATAATTAAAACTCAGTTCTTTTCTTTTGAACACATCTTTGGCAGAGGTGGGGAGTAGTGAAGAATTGCAGAGGACTCAGATTGGCTTGGAAGTAAGAAAGTGGGGTTTGCAGGAAAAAAGGTTGGAAACYACTGATATATAGCTCAAAAATGTCTCCAATTTCCAAGACAGTTTTGCCCTGAATTTGCAGAATAGCTAACCTAAAAGAAAACCACATTAAGAACACTTAGATAAGATAAGATAAGATAAGATAAGTGTAGGGGTTCCCCAAAGGGGAAACAAACATTTCCACTTGTCTTTGACTCGTTTAAGAAATCATTTCTCAAAAGAGACATTTTATTTTCTTTAATAAACATAATAATAGTGTTCTTTATATTTAAGCGTTGGGGCTAATGCTAAAGCTAACAGGCTAAGCTGAGGTTCTTCTTCCATGAAGCAGCTCTGTTGTCCTCCATCC